GGGGGGGGGGTTATTACTGTGTAAAAACCGCCCTCGTCTTCGCTGTTTATTATTATAATGCACTTGACCGCTGTCGTTTAAATACCCTCCCCTGGAAACCTGACAATTCCCCCCTCCAATATTATTATTATTTAATGCGTACTGTTTTGGTTGTGGGTTGTATTCACACGTTAACGACTCGAAATGCTTTACATACCAGAGAGACAGTTGTACGGTCTGAGCTGCTAATAATATACTCTGCTCCAGCGACACGGCTTGGTTTCCCTCCTCGGTAAATATGGACCCTCTGCTAAATTCAATCCAAACCCGACGATGACACATGGACATGATAGCAGCACCGACAGCAGGAACATCAAGGGATTGTTTTTAAAAATCAAAAACAAAAAATAAAATATAGTAATGTTTTTTTTTCTCTCTCTCTCTCTCTCTCTCTCTTCGCTTTCAGCCGTGTGGCGCACGGAGCCACAACAGCCGTAAAAATGTAAATCCCTCTCGTGTCAATCCATTCGGGGCAGCCCCCGCTCCGCTCGTGCTCTCCCCCTCCACCAGACGCAGCCCTCGGTCTCTCCGCCTGCCTGACCCCCCGAACCTCGTCGGCTCTGAGCAGGAGAGGAGAGGAGGAGAAAACCCGGAGTGGAGTTCTCTTCGAGCGTCAGTTTACACAGACGGGTGTCAAAACCAACGCGGCTTCACAAATACGTGAACTAATGATTTGTAATGAGCCGAGTGTTGCAAGTACGTGTCAAAACAGCAGCCAGTGCATACGTTTTAAAGCAAAACTCTAAAATGTTTCTTTTTTTTTTTTTTTTGACTGACTGTCTGTTAGTAAAATATCTCATGAACCACTGGATGGATTTTAATGAAACTTGCAGGAATTATTCTATGAATGTGCAAATGCAACTCATTGTCTTTTGGGGGTCAACCCTATTTAAGATGACTGTCAAGTCCAGCTGACTTTAAATAACACTAAAAGGACTATAAATTAACTAGTTTTGCAGTTATCGGGCTAAGATTTAATAGCCATGACTGATTCCCAACACATGTTCTGAGCACCAGATTGCACTAGAATCAGTTTTAAATTCTGGCAATTACTTTTTGGAGTTACCTCTGTTTCACTGTTAGCAAAATATCTCATGAACCACAGCACAGATTATAATGAAACTTTCAGAATATAATCCTGGGATGTACATACAAAACTGATTAACCTTTAGAGTGGCCACAATTTAAGATGGACGCCTCAGCTAACTGATTTAAATAACACAAAAATGAATTTAACTCATGCCAATTTGGCAGATATCAAAATTTGGCAATTTTTTTTTGATATGGTAGTAACTTAGAGTCTTTATATGAAGTCAGAGTTCTACACATCTTCACATGGATGGATGGATGGATGGATGGATGGATGGATGGATGGATGGATGGATGGATGGATGGATGGATGGATGGAAAATTCATCATTTTTGGGAATGGTAGTGTTCAACTGGAAGTACAAGGTCACTTAGAGGGATTTCAAATCGAAACAGAGTTGTAAAGTAACTAAGTACAAATACTTTGTTACTGTGTTCAGTAGAATTTTTGGGTATCTGTACTTTACTTGAGTAATTATTTTTCAGCCTACTTTTTATTTCTACTTCTTACATTTTCACACATTTATCTGTACTTTCTACTCCTTACATTAAAAAAGACAATAAGTAGAAAGTCGTTACTTTTATTTCATTTTTGCTTGTTTTCATTCCAGCTTATTATTGTAAAAATAAATATTATCCATATAAACTGTGCCTCCTAGACAGAGTGAATTTAACTCTGGTTGAATAAGAAGTATAAATATATAAAACTCTGATACCGTACTAGTTTGTACACAAACAAATCATGTCAGGACATAATCATTCAAATAAAAGGACTGTACTTAAGAAGTATTTGTATTTCATGAATTATATTACATGTGGCTGCAGCCCTCAGATAGATTTTTATTTTGGGGAAAAGGTTTGGGCAGCCTTGATATATGTATATAAACTGAAACAGCTAGATCCTAAATTTAACATAACTTAATTATTTTAATATGACAGTCATTTCTGCATTTTTTGCGGGGAGGTCACCTCCTAATAAATGTCCTGACAGAAAATCTAACTGCTCATTTTAAATCAATACTTTTACTTTTAATACTTAAAAAAAATCAGATACTTTAATACGTTTAATCAAGTAATGTTCCTAAAAGAGATTTTAACTTTTACCAAAGTAATTTTTGTAAGACATTTGTACTTTTACTCAAGTGTCACTTTGTGGTACTTTACACAACACTGTGAAAAAATAAGCTGGAAATCTCACATCAGACATGAACAAGCCAAAGTGTCAAGGGG